CCCCAGCCAGCATGTTTCCAAGGGATGGTCAAAAAAGTCAAGATGGTGACTGCAGCAGTGCCATTGAAGCCTCTGACTGGTTTTTATGTGCATTTCATCTGCAAAGTACATAAAAAAGCAGGTGGAGCTTTGATTGCACCACCGAGATCACCATCTTGACTTTTTTGACCATCCCTTGCAGACACACCTGTTAAAAATGATGGGTAAATGGTTATACAGGAATACTCTTAATTTAAAGAAAAGCCCCCTCCAACATACTCCCTAAAATCTAAGCTCCACCACTTTCATGATGCCACGGCATCTTTACCTTTGTAGCTTTTGGCCACCCAAATTATCAAACATAGAAAAGGCACGGGGAAGGGTGCCTTGTGCCCCTCAAAATATTAGCTAAACCCACAGGGGAACATTTTGATGTAAACTTCAACCATCAGTCCTATTTCTATGTTACTCGTTACCTGCCTTTGCACAACATTAAACCTGGATTGGCAAGACCTTCTGACTTCACATAACGTATTCTCCCCAGACAAACAAAACCATAACCGTAGCTTAATATGACAGCCTGGTTCCTTCAGCACACTAAGGTAAGAGCATGAATAACAATCTATCCACCTCCATTTTTACCTAGTCTACCTAATCTAGGAGTTGGGAGACTCAGGTTCAGATCCCTGTTTGCCCATTAAGATGAGAAGATGACTATGGATTGCCCTCTAAGATCTTCTTCAGAACTTAAAGTTCTGGAGAAATGTTGCCCAGATATATTGTTCAGTCATAACAACATGGCAATATGGAGTTGGAAGGGGGTACTGAGACCAACCCACTGGTCAGAGCAGAAATCCACACTGAAGCACCTGAGGCAGGTGTCTGTCCAGCCTCTGCTCAGACACATCCAAGACACAGGAGTCTACCCCCTCTCTGGATCACTGGTCTCACAGTCAAACCACTCTTACTGTGAGGAAGATCCTTCTTACAATCCAACAGGAATTTCCCAAATATATGGCACTCTCTTGCCTAGAGAGGGGCTAGCCCAAACTCATGCATCTGAGGACTTTGTCCTTGGCCCATCCATTTCTGGGAAAGGAAGGTATCTTGCCACCTCCAGATGCTCTGAACATTAACTCCCACCATCAGTCAATGCCATGGCGTCGTGGGAAATGTAGTTCAAAACATCTTAGAAACAGCACAAATTTAGGGGAATTATATCCAGTGGAGCTCTGCCATATAACTGCTCAGATTCAGATCACTTCCAGCAATCGCAGGAGTTGCAGTGGTCATCTAATAGAATCTGGTCATCTATCTTGAGTTCTACTCAAGGAATCTCTCTGCTGACCCAACAGAACCAGCTCAAAGTTGGCTCCGTTAGTGCCCAAAAGTTGCTGATGCAACAGCTCCAATCCCATATTTCTTTAAATCATCTTCCCCCAACTGGATGCCCTTCCTACTTGGTAGGACTTCCAATTCCATCATTATCAGTTGGGAAGGCTGCCTAGATAGGTCTCCTGCTTTGTAAGAGGCCTCAGTCCAGGACACCTCGCGGGCCACCCTTTTTCCATGAGTATTGAAGAGGTAGGTTGCCTGCTCTTCTTCTCCCATCATGTCCATGCAGGAGAAGACTTACTTACCCTCTCGCTGTTGCTGCTGAATTATTGGAAGAGGCTGAGGGATCGCCTGCGCAACTGGGGTGATGGCAGTGGTAGGATAGACAGCTGCAAGGGGTGAAAGGAACAGACTGAGGTCACAAAGTGAATATATTCCCATTTCCTTTTTAGCTCCATAAAGCTTCTTAATGAAGGCTGCATGAGAACCTTCATGAGAACCTTCATGAATCTTCAAGAACCTTCATGAGAATCTCCATCTTCATGGAGAAAATCTATCAATGGGGTCGCTACAGGTTGAAAACAACTTGATGGCACATAATCAATCATTCAATCAATGGGAATCCTTGCTGGAAGAGTCACTTTTGCTCCTGAGACAGAGCAGCAAAGTCTTCTACAAGCTAAGGTTTACAAACACGTCTCCCTTCCTTGCTGGCTTAGCAGAACATCTCGCCTATGCTCCAGATCTCAACTGTTTAGCTCCAGCGGGTATAAATGGGTAGGTGCTCTGGTTTTAGTGTCCGAGGAAGGTCTCTGGAGATCTGGCTAGCTGTTGGGAAAGTACCACTAGAAGAGAAAGTCTTCTTATTGGTCTTCTTTTGGGGAAAGTCTTGGGTTGATGGAAACCCAATCTACCTCTTTGGACCGGGTAGAGGTATTCCAGCCACTCTGATACCCTCACCTTGTTTGAACGGTTAGACTCAAGACACTGATATATTTTGGGCCTTCATGTTGGTTTTGACTCCTGGCAGCTGCCTGGAGAAGTCCCTGCAGTTTTCTTGGCGACATTTTTGGACATGATTTGCTTCTTCTTTGGGTTGCGAGAGAGGGACTGGTCCAAATTCACCCAGCTAGCTTTGTGCCTAAGGCAGGACTAGAACTCACAGCCTTCTGGTTTCTAGTCCAGTGCCCTAATCTACTGCTCCAAACCAGCTCTCTTTATATAATGATGGAGCTGAATTGAAGAAATATGTTCCCTTTAATATCCTGCTTAAACCATGTTTTTCAGACTTGACAACATTAAGATGTGTGGACTTCAACTCCCAGAATTCCCCAGCCAGCCATGCTGGCTGGGGAATTCTGGGAGTTGAAGTCCACACATCTGAAAGTTGCCAACACAAAGAGTTGACTTGAACAGTAACTTCCAGGTATTTAAATTGCCTGCTCCCTGGATGTGCTTGAATCACAAAAACAGGACTCGTCCAACCTCCCTGCCATTGTTATGAAAGCTACATTTCCCCCCATAATATAAGTCTGTGAAAAGGGAAGCGCCTAGTCAACTTTAGCCGATGTTGAAAAAGCTAAACAGGGTCAAACTTGGCAAGACCTGGGATGGGAGACCACTAGGCAATCACAGGGTTAGACTGCGAGGTTGAAAAACTATTATGGAAGAAGGCAGTGACAAAGCCACTTCCATGTTGGGCCGAGAAAACCTCCAGGATGCATCCAGGGAGTCTCCAAGTATTGAGCTCAGCTGAAGGGAGTCTTTCTAAACACTCGGCGAGCTCAGATCTGCTTGGATGGGAGACCACCAGGAGACTCCTCCAGGGTCACAACCCAGGAAAAGGTTATGACCAGCGACGTCTGTACCATTGCCAAGATCATTGCCAGGGCAGGCCCCTATCCTTACCAGGGGTCAAACTCAACTTGAAGGGAACTCCACACAACCGCTTCTCATGCCTGCTCGCTCCCATTCTCGGCTGTCCATCTTGCCTTCCAGACTGTTGGTGAACATTCTGTGACACCCAGAGTTCAAGCAGCAGATTCAGTCCCCCACCAGATAATCGGGGTAGGGGTAGGCTCTTGTGTTTCAGCATAACAGAGCTCCCCCAAGCCTAGGATCGCCCCATCTTGCTTCTCAGAGGCCTCACGTTGTCTGTAA